TTCGGAACGACCTCATCTCTCAACCTATCGGACTGAAAAAGGTCCAGCGATACCTTGAGCGAAATCTCTTCATTAAGAAAGTTGCTTTCTACGATACTGCTTTCCTGAGACCAAAGCGACTTTCATGGGAAGAGGGCGTCGATATCGTTTCCAAGTTGAAGTCGATTGTGGAAATTTTTTAATATCTAAAGGTTAGATTGGGGACCGAGGTTGGTGGTAAGCGGTACGCTTCTGAGTCTGATGAGTAAGTACCTATACCTCCCAGCTGAGATCCACAGCTCTTTAGCTGTTATCTTCGCCACATGTTCTGCTTACTGAATTTTCCGGAATTCCACAGCTGTGGATGGGAAGGAGGGCGCTCGTGAAACGCGAAAATTTAGCAAATAGACATCCTATTGGAGCGAGTTGCAAATCCCTCGTGCTCGACAACCAAATACGACCCTCTGGTGAGTTTCGCATAACGACTATGTGCGCCGTACAGTGAAGCCGAGCCGTCCATCATCGCCGTCGGCCTGAGTTCGAGAATAACTGCATCAGCAACCGCGTACTATCCAGGAGACTCGTGAAGACCGGCGCTGCGATGATTGAAGACACCAGTTGTCCAGCTGTTGGGACATCCCCGCCACTACTCACGATCTGTTTTTCATGACACGACTCTAATCTTCAGACGTACCGGGTTCCCATGCACGTCGTTTAGACCGGTATTGAAAATTTCATGAATAAGACTACCATCTGAAGTAAATGCTTGGACTATCAAACTGACTTCATTCCTTGAATAGTTATCGTGCGCACTACGACCAGTGTGTCTTTTTTGCCTCTCCCTCTCACTTCTTCCCCTTTTCCTGTGTGTATTTGCAATACAGCACTCGATAGGACAGAGGCGCGATCAGTTGCCAAAAGCGGACATCATCGGAGAGATTACGGTGGTTGAGCCAGCTGAGTCGGTAGTTCACATCTACCCCTGGGAAGTGGCTTTAGGGTGCGTGTACGAGTGGAAACGAATCGGAAGATCAGGTTTGAAAGCTTCTGATGCGAATTAGAAGTGACCTCATAGAGTTTTTACGCACAACGATACGGGGCCTGTTCCCCGTATCGATGTGCGGATTGAATACAACCGTAACGAAAACCGAAAAAGTGAGGTTGGCAGCTTATCTGATTAAATCGACGTCCTTGCTGATGTTTGAGGTACAGGACACGATAATTTGTGCTTGCTCAAAAATGGAAGCAGGGGTGCTATACAGTAGGGGAAATGAAGAAAAGGCGAAGTTGAATGGCCAAAAACCTGCGAAAATGCCTTTGTTCTGCGCGGCATTAGATGAGCATTTCTGGACGAGTTTCTCGTTGGTATCGTGCCAGCAAGGGTTTTGATAGATACTGCTGCACTACTGGCTATGTGTTCATATATACGTG